ATAGAACAATTAACTGCAGATTGATGTGGGTTTTTTTACTACCCATTTTTCAAGCAAAGAGCCCATGTAGAAGCAGCATTTTGCAGGGTATTGTTGTCTGGTGTCTTATATGTGGGCAGACTTATGATATTACCTATTGCTAGGAGGGAGATTTGATTTTGAAGCTGGACTTCACTCCCCAGGGAATGTAGGGAATTCTTACACTGAAGGGACAGAAGGCATCTGCCTTTTATTAGTGCCTCAGGCTCTACTGCCATGAAGAAGCACATGGGCAACAACACTGATGAAAATGAAGAAAAAAATTGGGAGGAAAAGGATGATGTTCCTTGGATCACATCCTCATTGCTTTTCCAGGGATCAGAAGTCTTAGCACAGAAGGAGATACCAAAATGTCTACAGCAGTTCAGGTGTGTCCCGTGTGCCCTGAGTAGGAGTTTTGCACGTCCAAGTCAGTGCATCCCTTCCAAATGAGAATGGATTTTGACACCTGGCTAGAACAGAACCTGCCAAGTGCAAAAGTGGCTTGTGCCAGGGTACTGGTGCACAGCATGTCAGAGTAGTGAGGCAAAGGCATCCCTTTCTCAAAGAAGGTGACACTGCCCCATGTCACTGCAGAAAAAGAAACATCAATATGAAGCACTGATGGATCTTTCATCTGGATTTATTGTAGTCAAAAGAGCTCAATGACACCCATGCAAATATTACAGAAAGGAGACATTGTACGTGATTATGCATCTTTTATGCTGAATTAGAACAAGTAGATTTCCCACGTCATTGTACTTCTCTGGGATGGCAAAGCATGTGTAGGAAGGGGAACAATTCCACAGTGCAGAGGTTTGGAGCAGGTGTTAGCCCACGTGTTAGCCCACACGTGCAACTGGAGAACACTCCTTTGAGGGGTCATTCTTCTGCACCACATCATAGGTACAGCTTTTTTTGTTTAAAGTGACTTTACAGTTCTCTTTGTCATACTGAATCGGAGTCAAAAATCTGTCATTGGTAAAGAGAAAGCAAATGTTAGCTTGACAGCAATAGAAGTTTCAATACTTCATTGATTATGGCTTCAACTACTGCTCAGTGAGACATCTCTGAAACTATGCCTTAGACCAGCTGAGCTCCCTTGAGTGCAACCCAGCTGCAACTTCCAGGGCCTCAAATGATGCCTCGCTGCACTGCACTGTGGACATGTACCAGGGTGCTCAGCACTAGCATGGGGATTTCTAGCACTGCACTCTACAGTCTGACATAAGCATGAGCTTGGCATGTTTTCTCTGTGTCCATTAAGTTTCCATTATTTCCAATTTGCTTTGAAGGGGGTAGCTGTTTCCTGATAGACCGATTGTCACCTAAACAAAGGCAAAGATAGTTATCAAGCCATTTTGGCCCTTTGAGAAGGCAGGATGAGAGGAAAGGAGAATGTTGGAGAGATTCAGAGCAGAGCCTTGTCATTCTAGGGTCAGCATTTTCACTGGAGACAAGCACCTCCGGAAAGGGGTTAGGATCATCATAAGCCCTTTAGAGGAATTTTGCTGAAGTTGTTTGTGAAAGTAGTTCTTTCCTACCCTCCCTTTCTCAGCTAAGGAAAGATTTAACTGCAGTGGCAGAGGGGTTCACAAGTTCCTAGAAGATTCAAGGCAAGCACCACCTGGATGTGCCTGGATGGCTCTGTGTCCACTCCTAGTCATCAGAAAGTGAGCCAAGGTAAACACAGCTAAGGATCCAAATGGTCAAGAACTCTATGTGGCTTTCACTTGCTCTGTGACATGAGGGACAAAAGGCTCTCTTGTGTCCTTATCTCCAGCAAATGGAAAGCTGTGGTTGTCCTGTGTGCAGTGATGGTACCCAGAAGTTCAAACTTACATTGAACAACACCTCATTTCAGTTCGGCTGCAGTCACATCTGTAGCAATCTTCTGTCCTCTCAATGTGTCCAAGGGGGTACAGTTTTCCATTCAGCATACAGCCTGCATAAGGCAACAGCAAGACAGAACATGTTAATTAAGCCTCTACCTAAAGGTTGAAAAGTTTAATAATTATTTCAAGTTTTCTGAAATTTTTTTCTAGGCATTATTAAATTAGAAGTAATTTTGTTCTCTGGTTATTACCCTAATTATTTGAAGACTGTGAATTCTTTTTGTCTTTACTCATTAAAGAGGGTTTCCATGTGACAGATCTGGGATGAAAGCGAGCAACCAAACAGCCAGGTCTGCCACCTGGCACCACATTTTATTCAGATCTACTCTCAACTGCTGCATCGGCTCCAGATGCTGCAATAACAATAGCAATCTACCACCAATAGCAATAATATTGCTGCAGCCACACTCAGTCCAGGGTGAGACTTTGTTTTTCCCCTACTTTTGACACCTTGGTGCTGAAACCTCCTATTTGTGTCTTTCTTAAATCTCCCTCCTCCCTTGTATTTTGAGCCCTTCCTGGAAGCTCCACACAGAGCCAAGCTACTACAGAGCAATCAAGTGAGAGGGTCTTGTCTGCTCTTACCTTTGTAAGCCTTCCCTGGCTTGTAATGTTTAGTAAAGCAGTATGCATCACCCAGGGCCACGATGATGCCCATTGCAAGAAGGAAAGCCAGAAAGCTCTTCTGTAAAAGAAACACAGAGCCCATGGTATGACTTTAATGCCACATTGATTATCTCTGTTTTCCGAAGCTGTCACTGAACCTGAACCAAAATTACGAATAACCTTATGTGTACATGAAAGTAATGGAAAAGGACACTCTAGATATTTCACTGCATTGCTTACTTTTTCCTGTACTTGGGAACATACAAAATGATATGACATAGGTTTTTTGGAATAGGTGGCTGGGTAGAGAAGAGAGATACAAATCGGTGTCTTAGGACATCTGAGTGTGGTACACTGTGCTCAGCTTCACCTGAGCCATCTTGTTAAACCATGCATACATAGGTTTGGACTCTTCACAGGCCATACTTCCTTTTGACTAGTGGTGGCAACAGCTAAACATCTGTAAGAGTTCTTCAGATATGTCCTCTGGGACCTGCTGAACCACCAGCACTTCTTTTGAAAAAGCCTGCATAACTTTGTAATGATGGTTATTCTGACAGAGGGACTGGAGGAACATGAGAGCACAGGGTTATTTTGATGGCTTGCTCCAGCTGGATAACTTAAGGCAAAAGTTTAGGAATGGCCAAAGACTGAGAAACAATGGAGGAAGTTATATAGATTTTCTTGATAGCACTTGCAGGCTAACATGAAAGGATTTTAACATGAGATCTTTCCAAGTTACTATTCTGAACTTTAGAGGCTGTGGCTGCTTGAAAATGGGGTTTCAAATAGCAGGGAGAAGCTTTGGGTTTAGGCACCTCTGCTTTCTGCCTTGGGTTGCTTGAATCAGAAATGCTGAAAGACACTGAAAGGTCCTGAAACACAGGCAGATGGTGAGCCAAGGTAAAACTCCTCTGGCTGCTGTGGAAAAAACTTGGTATTTTAATCCTTGATGTGCTGCTTTCTTATGGGGCTGAATGACATTTCTGATGTAGTTGAAAGGGAGGAGGAGGATTTATGGAGTGGTCTGGGAAGGGTATAATATTGAATTTCCACAGTGGTTCTGTGATTGGTAGTTCCTGAGGCTTTAGGCTACAACAGAGGCAGTTGCCATGCTCAGCACCACTGCCAGAATGAGAGAAGAAGAAAAACTTAAACTCTTCAACTGTTCTACTCCACGGTGCCTGGCCACAGGAAAGTGTCTAAGCAGCTCCTGTTCCATGAAGCTGTAGGATGAAACATTGCAGCTGGTCTCTGTTGAGGCTCCCTGTGCATTTGGCATGAATCTGTGGGGCTCTCTGTGCTGTGCAGCTGCCCCGGGCTTTGGGAGGGCAGGGAACTGTGGCTTTCCACACAGGATCTATCTCAACATGCTTGGGATGCTGTTTGCTGTATATTAGACATCCAGCTGGAGTTTGGGGGTGGCTTTCCTCCACACTGGTTCAGCAGTTTGCAACAGCTCATAGAGTGCCATGGCATGTCCCTCATGTCTTTGTTGGAAATACTAAAATGCTTCTTTTGCTGTGCTGTCTTCTGTGAATGTTTTATCCCTTGTTTGTTCCAACATTTGTCCTTGTCATGCTATTCCTAGAAATGCCAGTCAGATGAGCTTGGGCATGCTCCTCTCTCTAAAGATCAAAGTTTTGGAACTTCCACTGAATCTATGCAGACATATAGGGGGAAGTCTGTGTTGTTCAGTCATTGTCTGAACTGACTTCATGCTGCAACCAAAGGATATGTCAGATAAGTAACAGAAATCTAGCAGTAAAGCTTAAGCAGAGAAAGAAGCAGATGATCATTTCTTCCCTATTTATGAATCAGCATGTCTCATAGAAAGTACTGCTTCTTCTGTAGAATTTATGCCATTCCTGAGATTCTCATCAAAGGTAGTAATTGATGTCTGTACCTTCAGGGATTACGTGAGCACAAATTAGAGGAAAACTAGGCCAGAAGCTTTGCCTACCTATTTAGCTCGACCTACTGTTGATTCAGATTCTGCAAGCACGTTTGGAGGCTTGAAGAGCTGAAACAGCACACAACTTGAGAGATCCAAAGAAAAGAGCAGACAGGATATGCAAACAAAATATACATTTCTTTCATTATAATGCCATTATGTTTTAAACTTTTTTTCACATTGATAGCTTTTAAAAGCATGGTCCTAAATGTTTACAAAACTCTGAATGATTTCACAACCATTTCTGAGGACAGGATAACAGGAAGTGAAAGACTAATCTGTACAGATTCTTGCAAAGAATTCAAATACAAAGAACAAAATTTGCAGTAATCTTCCCAAAGGTGTCTTACTTCCTTTGCATCCTGCAGTTTTTAAATACAATATGTCCACAGTTGAAATATGTACATAATTTATTCCCTTAAATATTCTTCTTTTGCAGTTTTAAAGCAAATACCTGTCTGTATCCCCTTGAAAAATCTAAACCTTAGGCTTACCATTGTGGAACCCTTGGCTTCCAAAGATTTCCAAGTCTTCAGAAGAAATCTGAAGGGCTTAATGTGGAATCAGAGAG